CAAATAGTTAAAAGAAATAAAGGCTAAACAGATATTCATATACCCTAAAGGCTTACATCTTTCCAAGTCACTACTTGGTTATAACAAAAATAAGTCTCGCTCAACACAATTTAAAACCCTTGGCTATACAAAATAAATACAACAAAAAAGAAGCTTTCAGCTCTGATTCCTCCCAAGCTATTGCCTTGGCAGAGGTATATCAATAACACCTGAAAATGATTTTCCCAAATAGAGTGAGTCAAAACCGAGTAGAAACAATCCATCACAATATATGAATCTTAACAAAGATATAATTATGAAGTGCATATGCAATGCCTGTGATTTAAAATCATTTACAACTCTTTTTCCAAAACCATGTTGTGATAAGCCTCATATCTCAATTCATTAATCATGTCCATTTCATTCAATCAACCAAACTGAGTGTACTACTCAGTGGATCTCTAAACAATATAGTTATTATACGAACACATCCATTTTTCCATTTTACGAAAGTTTCATCCGCGAGAATTGGCACCTATGTATATGCGCGGTTTTCAGGACTTTCACTGTGGACACACAGGCCAACTTAATTTAATGGAGTCCATCCATTTTCTCCTCCCAAACATCATACATGTATCATGTATATAAATCATAATCACATTTAATGATAATGGCTAAGAGACTTGTTTTAATTTTCTTAATCCACATGCAATTTCCACAACAATCCTGTTATTCTCCACCGATAGCCCACAACAGATCGCTCTGACTAGATATACAATCTTTATGATAGATAAATTGTCCAAATTTCCATAGGCACAAAATAATATATACCTAATTCCACCATTTATATAAACATTCATCCAATTTTATATTCCCAATACTAATTTCATTTATTTATACAAAATAACTATTTGAGACATTTTAGGACAAAACTCCATTTTCTTCCAAAATCCATACTGGGTAACAAAATCAACAAATTTATCACAACACAACCTCACATCTACTCCCATAACCATTTTTAATGCATACATTTGAAAATCCCTATTTTGATTTTTAAACCAAAAACCTAGTTTTGTTCAAAATTATTCCAAATTCCAATATTCTTTACACATCAACAAATAATTAAGTTAAAACTCATAGAAGAGTGTAGAAAGTCCCTACCTCAAGCTTAGAAGACCAAGGAAGAAATGGAGGAACTCTAAATACACCAAAACCAAGCTTTATTCAGATCAAATGAGAGCCCCCGGAGTGCTTTATCTTTTTAACAAAGAGAGTAGGGTAGAGAGATCCTTAGTTCTAGGTGTATTTGTAGAGAAAATTAGGGTTTTAGAGAGAGTGTGTGTCGATCTAGGGTTTTGAGAGAAAAAAAGATGAAAAAGTGATGTAAAAAGGTGTCGTTGTGAACTGATATACGTGAACTCGCTCGAGCGCAGAAGTTGTCGCTCGAGCGACCAGACACAATAAGTTATTCCACTCGAGCGTAAGAAACTCTGCTCGAGCGCAGAATGCACACTCCCAGAAGTTTTACAGACAGAAGGCCGTCGCTAAAGTGTAAAAAGTCTCGCTCGAGCGAAGAACACTACCTCCTCGGTATCTCTACAGGCCTGCAAAAGTACTGGGAGTTCACAAAGCTCGCTTGAGCTAAGAGGCCAGTTTCTAAACAACAACAATTTGAACCAATTAGCAACCAACCTGTTCCAAACACACCCAAGACACTCCAATACTCAAACTCAACGAGAAATGAGGGAAATAGGACATTAACAACAATACAAAACCACAAAAACCCGAGTCCAAGATACAAAAGGATCGGGTTAAAACCAGAATCGCTATAAAAATTACCATTCTATATTTGAAGAATACAGGGTCATGGGCGCCGTATATTGATTTTTTTTTTTAAAAAAAAGGCCCCCAAATATTTTTGGCTATTATACTAGTCCACAAAAAAAATTCACCTAAATTTAAAAGGACTCAACAAAATTCGACGAAGATTCAAAACTAATAAATGATTGAGGTGTGAAAATTATATGGGGAGATGCACCTCTAAATCTCTGCATAAGATTGGAGTCTTGAATAATAGCATCTCTTTTGTGTGAAACTAAAGCAGCAGAGTGTGAAAATTAGAGTTGTAGCTTCTGCAGGTGTATGCCACTATTTTTTTTATTTTTTTGCCGTAGTTATGAAGCTTCCTTTCATGGTGGAATAATGATTCTTAATGATCTTAGTGATCTCATTAAAGTAAGAGTAGCTTTTGGTGGAAATCATTTGATCTAGGATGCCCATTTCCTATCATTGTTCTTATTTTCAATAAGTAGCATCCGAGTAGTAGTCTGTGAGAACAAGGTAGGGAATAGCAGTTGGGCTCTCTTTGTGTTACTGATATGTTACTTGTTTCTTTTTTTTTCTATCTTTGTTCCTTTAGTTGGTTGCTCACCAATTTGGGGGTGTAGCATATGATAGGATGAGTTTTTTGGTGCCAACCTAATTAGGATAATCGTGCTCATCGTGATGCTTTTTTGCACTCACCTATTTTTATTGATGTAATTTGTTCTTGTACCTTGTACCGTGCTATTTCATCAATAAAGTTTCTCTTTTGCTGATCAAAAATAAATAAATAAATGATTGATGTAGTGAATTATTTAAACTAATAGATGTTTGTTTTTACTTCAAAAAATCGAAAAGCCTATTTATTTGATGAGTTATTCGAAATTAATGGATGGTTGTTTTCCAAATTTATGAATTGTATATAGATTGCGATTAATTACACTAGTAACAGTTATTTCTGAAGAAAAAAAAAATCAAATTTCAAATTAAATAAATCTTATCTATGCCAGTTATAAAAATTTTATTATTTTATTAAAAACATCAAATTTAATATTTTGTTATTTTAAATAAATCTTACCATTGTTTTATTATTTTATTCAGCAGCTAGCTAGTTCTAAATATTTTGATCAACCTTCTATTTATTTATTTTGTTTATATGATTTTGTATGGATTATGAATCTCCTCAATTTTATTAGATTTGAACGAGTTTTGGTGTGGGTAGGAAAATGATATAGGGTTTGCATGTTTAATATGCATGTTTAAGTTCAGAATTTATCATAAATTTTTATTTAATTTTATCCTTTATAAATTCATAAACTGTATAATAAATTTTAATTTTCTAAATTTCTCGAATAAAATTAATTTATACAGTGATGTAGTGGCTTTCATTTATTTAAATGTAGTGGCTTCTATATATACTTTGAATTAATGTTAGTTTTTATTAATTTTGATTATTTTGTAAAATGATAGTAATCTACATTGCAAATACACACAAACATATATAAATTTTGCCGTGTCCATATCTCTATTTTTTCGAAATCGCTGTGTCCCATGTCCGTATCTGTGTGCGTGTTCGTGTCCGTACTTCATAGCATGGTAGCGTCTTCTTTATTACGCTGCCAGAGTGTTGGGTATACCTCCTTAGGGGAATATGGGACTTAATTAGTTTATTAAAAAAATTTAATTTGATTTGGTGTTGGTTATAATATATTTTTAATATATTAGATCTAACCTTTGGAGACCCAATAGGTATTTAATAATTTGTTTGGTGGCAACTAAGGTTTTGACAAAAAGCCCAAGAGTTCACAATTGGTATTATATATACTTGCTAGGAGGCAGCGGCTAAGTCAATTCGGTGGGTTTGGTATATGCATAGTGCTTGGTGTATAGATTTTCAATTGGTGGCTGCTGTAAGGATTGGTCCTTTTTCGACTGGTGCTTGGGGATTCTTTGGATGCTTTGAAGCATTAATTATGTACATATTCGGCTGATTTGGAATATTATTTTGCGTCTTCTATAATTTTGTTTTGAAGGTTTTTGTTCATCTATTTGGTGGGGTTTTTGCTCTTGATTATTTGGAATTCACATAAGGGTGGTTTTGTGAGACCATTCGTGTCTCGTTTGTAATCGTTTGGAAACTTTTTGATTGATAGTGGAATCAGATTTTGATCTCGTAGACGTACCTCACATTGAGGGAACCACGTAAAAATTCTTGTTTCGTTATTGATTTAATTTTTCCATATTAGGTTTTATTCCCATTGCTTGATTTACTAGTGGGGAACCATATATTTTCCCTAACACATAGCAGGTACTCATCAAGTCATTTCTTCATAGTTTATGATTTATATTTTCAAATTTCCAATGATGGTGTATTTTGTTGGCTTGAGTAATATATAGATGGTTCTTCAATGTTCTAAGTAGAACGAAAAATTAAAAATTGCATTACCAATTTATTCATTTGTATTTTCTTTAAAAATAGTCTTTTTAATCGATTTCTTTGATTTCCAACTATGTTTCTTTGTTTTCTATGTCAAATTTTATTCTGTTGCATACTTCTTTGCTTCTCTAAATGTTTATTTTGTGCACTTCCAGATCGCGTTAACCATTTGGAAACATTCTTTTCAATTGCAAGAACTTAAGTTATAAATTGTTGGGAGGTTCTCTACCTTTAGGCCTGGGTCTTAATTCTCTTAAAAAGTTGTAAGGTTACAAACTTCAATACATTAGGGTACATAGCATTGTTCCTTACTCTATATGAAGTCTTCTTATGTCATCTTATAACTTAATCTGTATCATTTCTAATGCCCAGAGGCATTCTGAGATTTACCTTTCATTGACTGGTTGATAAATGTATGCTTTAGAATCTTCTCTCTTTTCACATATGTTATTGTGCTTTATGTAAACAATTTTCTTTATAGTTACTTGGCTTAAAACTATCATGTTTATTTTCTCGGACTTCTCATCTTATTTTTTAAATTAGCTATAGTCTCCACCATATATTTGAATCCCTTCACAAGGAATGTTGTTTGCATACATACCCAACAATTTCTATGTGGCTATTCATATTCTATAATGCTTGTGAAAGTGAAACAAAGGGATTTACATATGTTTAAGTGAAACAAAATGGAACAGATGTGCATGTATCAATCCTTTAAAACACTTCTGCTAGATTGAGCTGAAATAAAATAGAAGAGAGAAAATTAAAGTTTTCATATTTTTAATGCTCCTTTGCTGCCATTGGCACATGTTTCCTCAAGAAAAACAAGTTGGCAACCTTCATACAATGTAGTTTGTTCCACTTTAACCAATGAATTAGAAATTTCAACATGCACATAACTCTAAAAAATCTAGAAAACCTAGGGCCTGGGACTTCAGCAACCAGCAGCATCAAAATAAAAAATAACCGTAAAGGCCAACTGGTCCCTGCTACATAGACTATATACACCACTACTAATGGCAGACTCCACAGTTCCCTAGTACAACCCACCAAGATAAGCAAAATAAAATAAACATTTTCTGATATTAAAGATTTTAGACATGAGGTAATAACATAAGAAAATAACAACAGAGTATAGCCATAGTAGATCAGCAAGAGGGCGCAAGATGTAGCCATTCCATGATTCCACTTCTTGTCAAACTCCAGCAGCAAGAATAACCAATGCTGATATCACAGTAGTTCCATCCATGGAAATGTATTGGTTGTAGCCACCACCAAGGAAGAGTGCCATTTTGTTGAGACTCAAATGATCCTGGCAAGGGAGCTTTAAGTATTACCAACACATAGGTAGCACCAACCATTTAGCAACAAATAGGTGAAGGCTAGTGCCACTCAACCCACCATGTGACCTCTCATTTCTAATATTATGTAGCATTGAGATATGTGGCTCACAACACTCAACCCTTAGAATATCTTCAAGTTCCATGGACAACATCTACACAACACAACAAACAATTAGTAAAACACATAGTGTACTGCTCCCCTTCATTCAACTCTCATATAGAGAAACTCCTATCACTTAGTAGCCCTCCCATAGCTGGATATATGGAGCTTCAAAATGGATTCTGGTAAATTCCATTACTAAAAAAACCAAGAATCAACTGTTGATCTAGGCAAATTGTATACAGATAACAGTCTTACAACATGTAATATATTTCTATAACAATCTAAAACATAACACTTTAGGTATGAAAATAGGTTACAAAACTCTATGAAGAAAATCACCAAAAATTTGAATTAGCCACAGAAATACCCAATAATCGGTTCAAACACTTAGTAAGGACCAAAGTGACTTACACAAACTCATGGAACAAGCACTAGACTCCTGATTTCAAAATTAAGCTCAAACTTGCATTTTTTGAGCTCTTTTTTTGGGGGGAAATAAGTTATAATATAAAACAACACAACTAAACAAGTTTACAAGGGACATACCCCAGGCCCTAACAAAAACTATACATAAACAAGCCCTAATGAAAACAAAACCACCAACTGGACTAGTAAGGGACTACCTAGGCTACAAACATCATAGACCTGTTCATAACCCCCATTCAAGTTGGAGGGAGGAGATGAACAAACCTTAACAAGCCTAGTTAAGCAGGAGCACCAAAATGATAATATAGCAACATAAACTAGCAGCAACTGGAGCAACCCAAACATCCAAGCTGAGCTTCCATAATCAGCAACAGTAAGAGATGGCCAAACAAAAGCCAAAAATAATTACACTACCCAAAATAACTCATACATAGCCCGTAGGAGAAGGCTAAAAAGAAACCAAAAATATTTACACTGCCCAGTGTTCTAGTATTACAAGACACTCCTATATCCTCTCATCACTAGGCCCACACCAAAGAATTCCCTATTAACGTACCAGCATAGATCTAATCCTACAAGAAAAGGTTAGGGACACTCCTTTATGATTATTTACATCTCTTAACCCACAAGCTCACAACTGCCCACCTTCTAACTATATGCTCACACCACACTTAATCCACAATCCCTAAAGAGAAAGGCCAACAAACAACCTACATAGCAAACTGTTAGGGAAAACATGTATAATGGCATATAATAGCTCACATTCACTCAACCCTGAGTATAGTAACACTTCACTCTCAACTCAATGCTTCAAACATCTGCTCCAAGCACCATAACTAGGTATACTAGTAATCAAATGAGGCCAGGGCGACCTGCAGAAACTGTTAGATACACCTACTAAAACATCAATTAGGATTTGCACAGAGGATAAATGAGGGCAACCTTCAAGTAGCTAAAAACCATGCATCATTTGGATTCGTTTCCAAATTTTTAAGTGACAGTACTCTAAATCTAACCATATTAAAGCTGTTCAAACCAATGATTTCTTCAGGAATTTTTTCTTTGGTGAAGACTCTATTATTCCTCTCAAGCCAAATAAGGTAAATAGTGCAGGTAAGATCAAGCCTAAAGATAATAGAGCCAAGTGAGTTACCATTAATAGATTTCGCAATATGAGACACCAAACCAGACCAGTTTAACACAGGCCAAGCCACATTTTAAAATAGGGAAAACCATTTAATAATCATGAAAATGCCCAAGAATTGGTTTGAGCACCTTATTAAGGACAAAAGTGACTTGTAGAAACTCACGATATAAGCACCAAACTTTTGGTTTGGAAATTAGGCTCAATTTTTAACTAATTCAAAAAAAGATGAATTACTCATGTTTTTACACTTAAAAATGAAATAAGTTTAATTAATTCAATTAATTTTAACTATATTTGTATATTATTTTTGAAGTTAATGCATTGATAAAATACTCATGTTTTTATCCTTTTGTTCACAAGTTCGTGATGGATGTTCGTGGTTCAGTAGTGATATATATGGTCATTAAAGATATGATAATTTGTCATTTTGCACGTAGGCATTCATTTTATTTTTCTTTGTTTCATTTTATAGGTTATTTTGTTGAATATTTAGATACTTTTAGGAATTATTATGTTTGGGATTTATGGATATAGTTAGATACATTTTAGGATTCTTATGTTTAGTATTGTTGGATATTTGAATAAAATTTGAAATATTGAAATGCATTTGATATTAATTTGGTTACATTGCTAATTGTTATTGTAAAACAAGCATATAACGTAGCGGGTAAAAAAATTCAGATCATACCTTGAGGTGATAGAACCTGAAGTGAAGAATCTCGTGGGTAAATCACGTGCTTCTAAAAATGCGAACAATGAACACCTAGCAGTGGAGTGATACCACAGTATGAGTATCACCCACACAGTCACAGTATAGAGGCTGGATCGTTCTCTTCATGGGAGAGAGTTAAAGAGAGAGTCTAGGAAAAAAGGTTATGGGTAAAAACCACATAACGTACGTGATATCAATATATTATATAAAATATATAATTAGATATATAAATATATATATATATATATATATCAATCTATCCATATCAGTTGATAATAGATATAGATATCACGAGTGGTTATCCAAATAAGTTTTGAATTCAAATTCAAACTTACATGGATAAGGTTCAAAAGGTTCATAGCTCATGCCACATGAGTGCCCAAATTCTAACATCTCCCACTCGCTCGTGAGTTGGCATGACACAGCCACATCTCTATCTCAATCTCCCCAAATATTAAACAATCACATCCTAGCCAATGAATCGTGCGACTGCTGAGAAACACCTGCATGTGGAAGCTCTATACTAGAAACTCAAAAAAGAGCCAGCATAGAGACATCAACCCAAAAAATAGAAATAATGTCTCATATACCCCAGACCCATCTAATTACACCGGTCCAAAAAACATCTCTAATCCCTCGAAAAGAGCATGTTTGACCCTCTCAATTCTTGCAATATATTCACACTCAATCTGCCTCTCATATAGAGCGATGTGAGTTGCCAGCAATGAATACACAACAATGGTGTAATACTAGATGATCTTCCCTTTGCCCTCATACCATTTAGTTTAGGATTGACCGTTTTCCCAGTGATATCCCTTAAGGCCGAATCATACATGACCGCAGACAACATATCAAAGTAGCAGAACATCAACCCCTTACCTTATGACATAGTCAAAAGTCACAAAAGGGTACATAAATGAAAGTCATATCAATAATGACACGTAAGACTCACACGGTGAGGAAACAGGGATCCATTCTCTCACCTCATTACTCGGTCGCTAAGCACATGTAGTATGAATACATGTTACGGTGGAGTAACTCTTCCAAAAGAGTAACGTCATACTCGATACACCGTACAGATATTAGTCTAGTCGCTTTCTAGCGCCTAACTCGAATTCTCTATTTGCTCGCCTGAATCCGCGATCTCCGCTCGAGTGCCCAACATCCCGCTCGAGCGGCTTCAACAAAATACGCGTGTGGTGACACAGTGGTCCGCTCGAGCGCTTCATCACCCGCTCGAGCGCAAAATTACGCACTCCAGTACTTTTACAGACCTGTCACAAATACTGGGAGACCACAAACTCCGCTCGAGCGTCAATGTCCCCGCTCGAGCGGGAAGAACAAAAACACAGAA